GGTATATAGTAGTTTCTCAGGTTTCTACTCTAGACATCCTGAGGGTAGAGATCAGAAACTGGAAGAAAGCCAATGTTAGGAAAACAAAAGGAGATCTAATTAGAAAGGAAGCTGGAAAAGTAGATCCTTATAGATCATGTTAAGAATTTATATCTATTCTAATGGGGATCACTTTAACATTTTAAACATTAAATGGGAAAATATTACATTTGCATTTCTAAATGATTACTCAGAATGGCCATAGGAATTGAAGACAGGTTGGGCGAGGGACATTTAGAAAGGAAAATCATTGAGATGAAATCATTGAGATGAGCTCTGACAGAGTATCAAGTTTGAAGGGGTGAGGGGAAGGTGAGAATTTCATGAATTGAAAAATTGAATGTTTTGAATTTGAAGTACCTATGAGACATTCAAATAGAGATTTCAGAAAGGCAATTATTACTTAGTAGATGAACCTTTCCAGTTTTTACACAAATAAATGAATAAGGAGCTCCCTAGTAGAATAAAGTATTTAAAAGTAAAACATAAACGTTTGTGTTGAGAATTGGGAATCATTACAGAGCTCCTATTGGAGAATTACTTGTTTGGTTTAAAAAAAAAAATCAAGGGATTAAATAATTTCATTTCTAGCTGTTCATGTTTCCCTCTTTCCAATCCCAGATCTAGAATTGATGAGGCACTGAATAGAGGTTAAGATTAAATCAGATTGAAAATTAACTTTTTGGTTGAAGCGACTTACTATTTCTTCTTCCCACTACCCCATCTTCTGTTCTCTATCTTGGTTAACATAATTACAATCATTCCTTCCCAATCAAGAATTCTAAGGCATCCAGGGGCACCTGGGTGGCTTAGTCGGTTAAGCGTCTGACTTTTGCTTAGATTCTTGGGTTCGAGCCCCGCATCGGGCTCAGAGCCTGGAGCCTGTTTCAGTCTGTGACTCTCTCTCTGACCCTCCCCTGCTCATACTGTCTCTCTCTCTCTCTCTCTCTCTCTGTCTCTCTCTCTCTCTCTCTCTCTCTGTCTCTCCTAGAAATAAATAAATAAAACATTAAAAAAAAATTTAAAAAAAAAGAATTCTAAGGCATCCAGAATTCCCTTCTTTCACTTATTTCACTCATGCAAATTAATTAATTTAACAGCTATCTTTTGAGCACATACTGCATATCAGTGGTTGCTCTAGGCATGGGGGATAGAACAGTGGATACAAAATTATTTGCCCTCATAGAACTTACATTCTAGTAGAGAAGATGGCCAAAATTAAAGTAAATAAGTAAAATATAGAATATGTTAGTGATAACTACTAAGGAGAAGCAAGAAGCAGGGAAGAGAGACATACTGTTTCCTTGTCTATGAACTCCTGTAAAAAAGTATGTCTATGTAAATCTGTTATCTGTAGTGGGTATGATTTTAGAGAGGGTGCTGAGGGAAAACAGTCACTGAGGGGACACTTAGATACCTATCTAATGGAAATGAAAGAACAAGCCATACTGATGCTTGAGAGAGAAATATTCTAAGCAGATGCCTTGAGATGTGAGTACATCTTTGGCGTTGTAAAGCACAACAGGGACCAGTATGCTTCAGTGAAGTCAGAAGTGTAGGAGTAGTTGGGGATGAAGTTGGTGAGGTAATGGGGGCCGGATCATGTAGTGCCTTCATCTAAGTACTTTGACCTTTACTCTTACTAAGATGGGGAATCTTTGATCAGAGGAATGTCATGATGTGATTTGTGTTTTAACAGAACCATCTGATTGCTGTGTTGAGAATAAATTGAAGCCGGGCCAGGGCAGAAGCAGAGAAAGCAGGTTATAGACAAAGGTAGCTCAGACCAGGGTGGAAGAAGCAAAGGGTGAGAAGTTGTTTGGATATATTATGAAGGTGCAGCTGATAGGGTTTACTGTTGGAGTCATATGCAGTGTGAGAGAAGAAGAGGGGTGAGGGATAACTCCAGGGTTTTTAACTCCAACTAAAAGAATGGAGTTGCTTTTTACAGAGGATGAGGAAGGTTGTGAGAGGAGGGATGCTAGGATGTGTTAAGTTTTGAAATGCCTGTTTGATACTCAAAGAAGAGATGTAGGGAAGGCAATTCTGAAAGCACTGAGCTCATTCATGAACAAGGTTCAGGCTAGACATAGAAATTTGGGAACTGTCAGCAGATAGATGAAACATAAGGCCATGAGTGTGTCTGAGATAAACAAAGGAGGGTATGTAGCAACGAGTGCAGGTTAGAAAAGTGAGCCCTGGGGTACTAGACCATTTAGAGACTGGGGAGATGAGAAAGAACAAACCAGGGAGATGGAGAGGGAGCAACTGAGGTAGGAGAGGGTGGTGTCCTGGAAGTTAAGTGAAGAGAAAACTTGAAGGAAAAGAGAATGATTAACTGCATCAAATATTGTTATAATAAGGGAAGGAAGGAAAAGAAGGAGGGAGGGAGGAAGGAAGGATGGAAGGAAGGAAGGAAAGAAGGAAGGGAAACTCACCATTGGATTTAGTGATGGGCTTTATAGGAGACCTTGGTAAATGTGACTTTGCTGGAGCTGTGGGAGCAAAAGCCTGATAGGAGTGGATTTGAGGAAGAAACGGGAAGGAAAACTGATGTAGTGATTAGAAACATCTCTTTCACAAGGATGCAAAGTTTTTTTGTGATTCTCAGCCCCAAATATTCCACGAACCTACCCTTTCTTCTGTAGTCTCAGTGTTAGTGCATTTATTCAGGCTTTCCTTTCTTTTGGGCTTAGTGCAGTGATCTCTTTGCCTTTAGCCTGTGACCCCATAGTGCCAGCTTAATATATGCTTGCCAAATTTGTCTTTTGAAAACACTGGTCAGCTATGCTCCTCCCCTGCTCAGTGTCCTTCATTTTCTTCCCCACACTTAGAGGGTGAAGTCTACTCGTGAATAATGATTATGCCTTTTTTGATTATGCCTCTGCCAACTTTCTGTTTTCATATCCTGCCTCTTCCCTATACTTTCTGTGCTCTAGTTCTGTCAAACTCTGGACTTTTCTAAATGCACCATGTTATTTTATTCTTGCCTGTTTTTATAAATAAAATCTTGTACTGTTCCTGAACATCCCTTCTCATACTTTAGAAGCTGGGGCTTGCCTGAGACCAGGTTAACGTGAAAAAGCAGAGGCTATTCTAGTTTTTAGAATCTTACTAGGAAGCTTTTCATCTAGATGACATCATTGTCTCAGTGGTATAACTTCTCAAGTCCAGTCCAAAAAAGTAAATTAGTCTAGTTAACTATAGGTTAAAACCTTCTTGACGTTATACAATATTATCCCAGTTTAGTCCACAACTCCCCAACTCACCATAATAATAACCATACTAACCAATAATAACCAACTAACCATAATAAACAGGGAGTGCACCTGTGAATGTAAACTTCATCCTCAATTTAGAGATCATATCTTCTGTACGGTTAGTATTTCTTACCTTAGGGTCTATTAGTACTGGAAATTTGCATATGAATCCGGTTCATCACAGTCTCATAGCTCTGCTCAATCTCTACTAACACTTCTCAACTTTGGCTGCACGTCCAGCCATCAGGGAGTTTTAAAGACCCTGTCATGCTTGGATCTGACTCTAAGTATTCAGATTTCATTGATCTGATTTCATTGAGCATAAGGATTTTTTATTTTTATTTAAAAAAATTTTTTTAGCGTTTATTTATTTCTGAGAGACAGAGAGACAGAGCGTGAGCAGGGGAGGGGCAGAGAGAGGGAGAGACAGAACCCAAAGCAGGCCCCAGGCTCTGAGCTGTCAGCACAGAGCCTGATGTGGGGCTCAAACCCAGAAGCCATGAGATCATGACCTGAGCCAAAGTCATCCACTTAACTGAGTCACCCAGGTGCCCTGACATTCAGTTATAATTTTAATTGTTATTAAGTTGCTATGTTGGATTCTTTTATTCAAAGCTTCAACCTCACAAAATGTTTAAAAAGTATAAATTGACAAAAATAAACTGAAAATTCCTTCTAGTTCTGTCATTCTCTGAATCTAATATGTGCTTATCTGTTCAGATATCTATGCTTACTAAAAATTCCACGCAGAAAACAAACTGTTAAACTCAAGAATTTGAGTGTGCCATACTGAGTGTCCAATTTGAGGTGAAGAGGTTTAAAATCAGAGATTATTTCAAAATCACCTTGGAATTTTTTCATCCTTTTTTTGGTCTCCTACCAACTGTAACATGTCATGATATATTTGTGTATAGATGGAGAATGGTGGAGGAGAGAACAGGCTTTAGAATTAGGCCTAGTTTGAGATCCTGGATCCTGCACTTAAGTAACTCCAGCTGTGGCCATATTTACTGAAAATCTCAACTCCTGTTTCCCGATCTATCAAAAAGAAGAATGATAATCATATCATAAAGTTGTATTGAGGACTGAATGACATAAATTTGTAAAACATTTAGCACAGTGCCTGACACATAATAAGAATCGAATAGTTAGTGCCTATTTTCATTAATGTTGGCACAGCTGAAGAAGCTAGGACTTGATTTTCTTTTTCAGTGATGTAGGGCATGTCAGCGTGTTTACCTGTTTAGTGAATTTGAATGTATTGATAGTGTGCATTCTTGAAATTATATGATGAGGATAGCAATTTGCCTTTGTGGTCTTCTTCCCCCAAACCTGTAACCCAGGTCTGATCATGAGAAACACATCAGACAAACCCCAGCTGAGGGTGTTGTACTAATCTCCTGACCCGTACTTCTCAAAACTGGCAAGGTTACCAACAAAAAAGTCTGAGAAACTAATCTAGGGAACCTAAGAATATGCGATGACTAAGTGTAATATGGTATCTTGGAATGGAAAGTAGATATTTAATAAAAACTGAGGAAATCTCAATAAAGTGTGGACTTTAGTTAATAATGTATCAATATGATTCATTAGCTTTGGCAAATGACTAACTGGGAAACCAAGTGTAGGGTTTACGGGATCTCCTATACTATTTCAGCAACTTTTCTATAAATCTAAAACCATTCTAAAATAAAAATTTTAGTGCTTGCTTCAGTAGCACATATTCTAAAGTTGGAGTGATACAGAGATTAGTATGGGCCCTGAGCGAGGATGACATGCAAATTCATGAAGCATTCCATATTTTTGAGAAGGACAGATATCATACGTTTTCACTCATATGTGGATTTTGAGAAACTTAACAGAAGACCGTGGGGGAAGGGAAGGGAAAAAAAAAGTTACAAACAGAGAGGGAGAGAGGAAAACCATAAGAGACTCTTAAATACAGAGAACAAATTGAGGGTTGATGGGGGGTGGGGGAGAGGGGGAAATGGGTGTTGGGCACTGAGGAGGGCACTTGTTGGGAATAGCACTGGGTGTTGTATGTAAGTGATGAACCATGGGAATCTACCCCAAAAAACTAGAGCACACTTTACACACTGTTTGTTAGCCAATTTGACAATAAATTACATTAAATAAATAAAATAAAATAAAAGTTCATTAATAAAAAACAAGAAAAATATATAATTGTAGATACCTTTATTTTTACTAGTTGCTCCATTAATTTAATTCTGTGTTAGGTGTGACATTTTGTATATTCATTGTGTACTTTGAAAGCACAGTCATCAACTTTTAAAATACTTTATTACTGGTGATTGCTCCTTTTACAATTAGCAAGTCTACTTTGTTTTCTTTTTATTAGTCCTCATCATTGATGTATAGCTTCATCATGAGAATCAAAACATTCTGTGTTTAGAACTTTTCTTGAGCTACAGATCAGACCTTCTAGGATATCTTAGGCTATTTTGGATAGCTTAGGCAAGTATAAATTAATAATTCATCATAGGAAAGTTAATTTTTTATTTAGATTTATACAAGCTAGATCTATGAACACTTGTGAAAAGTACTAGTTATAGTATTGATGGCATTATGTTAATAAATACTTTTTAGTTGGTATAGTATGCTTCCTTTTTTCTTCAGACAAGCCACTACAGATATTTTCTAAAGAACTAAATCAATTTTAGGTAGCTCTGAGCTTACTTATGAAAATTCTAATTGATAATTTAAGATCACAGAGATTGATATGGAAGATAAGGTCTTAGTGCTTTAGGATAATGCCACTCTTCTTTTTAGAGTAATAGTTGGATAAGAAAAGGAAAACACTGAACTTCTTAAATTGTATCAAACCATTTATTTTTTACTTGAACATGATTTGGTTTTATGGATGCATTAATTTTAGAGCTGGCCCTTGACAAAATTAGTTCAACAATTTTTTTTTGAGAATACCCACGCCATACCAGATTCCAAGTTGGCAATGAAAATACCAAGATGAAAAAGGCTTTCAAAGACACACTTTGAACTTTTTATAGTCCAAAGATAGTCATATAAATAATTAATCATTATGCAGTGTGGCAGCGCTGTAAGACAGATATGTGTAATGTGCTATAGAAGCACAGAAGAGGGAACAATTAATTCTTAATGAGAGGCATCCCAAAATCTAATAGAGAAGATAAGGAAATGATATTCAAGCTATCTTTTGTGGAAAGGATGTTGTTACTGATACGATGATGATAAACGAAGATTACAGTCATCAAAAAAAAAATTCCAGTTTTCATTTCTTCCTAAGTGTTTACTTAGTGCCAGGTACCATGCTGTGTTTATATGTATTACTACTTTTGTTTTTCACTACACCCCCATCGGTATTTCTAATATCAGCTTCATATATAAAGAAATTGAGGTTCATGGAAGTTAATGAATATTCCTAAGTAGTTCAAAGATTGAGTCCAGCTTAGTTCTGCTTGACACTAATCCCTGTTAAAATGTATTGGATACAATTTCCTTATATTGTCAAGTAAAAGCAACTGCATTTTAAGTATGCATTTCCTCTTTGAATATCATCAAGTAGTTTGGCGCTGCATGTATTATTTAGGATGTTACAGTTACAAGGGGTAGAATATTTGTCTCAGAATTGCTTGAACCAGGGGTTAGCTAACTTTTTCTGTAAAGATCTTGATAGTAAATATGTCAGGTGTTGTAGGCCAGATAGTTGCAACTACCTAACTCTGTCATTGTGGTATAAAAGCAGACATCAACTATATGTAAGCGAGTGATCATGACAGCGTGCTAATAAAACTTTATTTATGGACACTCAAATTTGAATTTAATATACATTTTATGTCACAAAATATTACTCTTTTAACTTTCAGTGATTTAAAACTGTAAAAACTATTCTTACTTAGTTCACTGGCTGTCCAAAAATAGGTAGCAGGCTAGATTTGGCTTATGTGCTAGTTTACTTACCTCTGGTTTATATGATTGATGATGAGGATTTACTGGTTTATAGAGTTGTAGCCCAGAAATAGGATAATTTTTTTCAGTAATCCAGTGTTAGTAAGGAAGTTGGTGTCTTCCATCTCTCTATCCTAATTTTCATAGTATTAACTTTATCCTATGGTTTATTCCCCATTGGCAGCCAGAATAGCCAGGGTCGCCATGTGTTGTCTTACATATCTAGGGAGAGAGAAGATCTTTTCCAGAAACTCTTTCTAATCTCTTTTGAGCTTAATCCCATCAGGTTTCATCCCTACCACTCCACAGGAACCATGTTAAATCATCTACAGTCACTAAATTTAGTGATCAGTTCTCAGTTTCATATTATTTGACCTATGAACATTTGATCTTTTCCCTTCCATGAAACTCTTTCGTTACTTCTGTATTCTTCTAATTTTGTTTCTGTTCTCTGGTTACTACTTCTTATTGTCTGGTGTTTTTCCTCATACCACCAAGCTTCTGCATGTTGGAGCCCCAAGCTTTAGTCTTTTGACTTCTCTCTCTCTTTCTGTCTCTGTCTCTCCCTGCCTCCCCCCCCCCCACAGTCCCTTTTGTGGAGATGTCATACAGTTTAAAAATGGCTTATGTACTGATGGCATATGTATGTTCATGTTCATGTCTGCTTATTTGTGTAACATGCATCTCAAGCTTAGTATGTCCAGAACTGAGCTCCACATACTCCCGTTACCCCAGACTTATTCTCTTACAGTCTTTCCTATCATCTCAGTAAATTGCAGATTCGTTGTTTGGGTCCAAAATACTGGAATTACCCTGATTATTTATTTATTTTTCATCTAATGACAATAGATTGTCTCTGCTGTACCTTCAAGATATATCCAGAATCTGACTGCTGCTCACCATCTCCACTGTTCCCTTAGTCCAAATGTTCATTCTTCTTCTGGATTTTTGCAGTAGCCTCGGAATTGATTTCTGTCTGCTTCTGGTCTCTTTCCCCAGAAGTCCCCACTACCACCATCTTAATGATTTCTTTGTTATAAGGGCCCCTGGGTGGCTCAGTCCGTGAAACAACTGACTTCGGCTCAGGTCATGATCTTGTGGTTTACGAGTTTGAGCCCTGTGTCAGGCTCTGTGCTGACAGCTCAGAGCTTGGAGCCTGCCTCGAATTCTGTGTCACCCTCTCTCTTTGTCCCTTCCCTGCTTGTTCTCCATCTCTTTTTTTCTCAAAAATAAATTTAAAAATATTTTTTTAAAAATGATTTCTTTGTTATAGAAGATAACAGTAGAGATTTTTGAAAACAGACCATTTGAATTTTAGGATTGTGGTGTGATTTGGGGAAAGTCACTTTCCTTCCCTGAATCTCAGTCTTCTATTTTAGGGGCACCTGGGTGGCTCAGTTGGTTAAGCGGCCAACTCTTGATCTTGGCTCAGGTCATGATCTCCTAGTACTTGAGTTAGAGCCCTGCATCAGGCCCCGGGCTGACAGTGTGGAGTCTGCTTGGGATTCTTTTTCTCTCTCTCTCTCTCAAAATACATACACCTTCCTTCCTACCTACCTACCTACCTGCCTGCCTACCTACCTACCTACCTTTGGATAATAAATAAATCTAGCTTATGTTCTTGGTCCTTCCTTTTGTATTAAAAAAAAAAAATTCCACTCATACCTTCCAGTTCATGTCTGCCTTTGTTCTCATTTAAGTATACAGTTCTGGCCAGTAAAACGGACCTGAGTTTATACTTGAATAATAAAAGTATTGTATTGTATTTTGTGCAGTTTTAACACCTCTCCCATGCCTTCTATTAGGGTGGCATATTTAAAGTTTCCAAAGGACAATTAAAGGCAACCAACTTCAAAATTTTAATTCATAAAATCTAATCTTATTTATACTAGCACAGTATTTAGCTGAGAAGAGTAAAGATGGGCTTGGTTTACCAAATTCAAGGTCACTAAAATTGTTAGGTTTTCAGCTATAGTATTTTGATCCTGGGTTGAGAAGAAGAATTATTTAAAGTATCCCCTACTTACAGAAAAGAAAACTTTTTTCTTGGAATGTTCAGGCACTTTCTTAACAGAATTTCTCTGACTTAAATCCCTTTGTAGAAATCACTGCATACTGAATATCTCTATATGGTTGGTATTTCTTTGCCAGGACTACTTTAGTGCTGTAATACACCTGACTTGAAAGCTATCTACCCTATGAAGTAAATGCTGCAATGACGTTTTGCCTTCGAAATAATGGGAATAGGAAATCTATTAAGGTTTTTCAGTATTAAAGATACCCTGTTTTATATTACTTGTTGGGTTTAACTCAGTATGCAGGTAAAAAAACAAATGTTCTTTGCTAATTATCTCAAATCCAGGAAACCTAAGTTCTGGTTTTAACAGCTAGCACTTGAGTTGGACAGTCCAGTCTTTTTATTTCTGTACCTGTTACATCAGGGGGTTTTCTTCTGTAAAGTTCACAATATATCTGAAGTAAGTCTTTAACTCAAGTTTGATGAGTAAATTCTAACTTCATAGACACAGCCCTGTCCTACTATCTACACTCTGGGATGAGGTAATGAGTCTTATGCAAATAATTTGACTTGCTTGACAACTGAAGGTCTGTTTTGTCCATAAATGTAGATGTGTCATGTGTGGGAGGTCTTATCTGTACAGAAAGAATTGTGTGTTAAGCACAGCAAAAACATTTATAGTACTGTATGTCATTGCAGTCTTGCTATTTTAGATACTGGTTTCGTTGGTTCTATAAGCATACCACAAACACTTTTAAAGAGGTTGAAATTTTTTCCTATATCATTTTGGGGAAGTGGTAAAAGATAGTAGTACATGAAAGACAATGTACAACTAGGGTCATA